TGTGTATTTACATTTTTTAAGGCATAAAACATTCATTTAATTTATCTTTTAATTAATGAAAATTAAACAAATTAATTTTGGGGGGAAATAAAGGGGGTTTAATATTACAATTAAAACATTGAAGAAATATTGTATGATTATTCCTTAAAAATTAGGTTTTAACAATTTTAGTAGTAGTAGTAGCCTATTACGTTCATTCTGCTGTACAATAGTAGTGTAATAACAATAGTAATGTATTTCTGCCGCAAAGTCTTAAAATGAAACGGAACATTTATTTAGGCGGGGCGCCCCCCTAATATAAAGAATAATGGCGGGGAAACACTGCATTGATCCCGTGTTTTAAACACACAAACCACCTGGAGCATAAGTCAATGTCATTTGGGTTTAATATTGTATTCAAGCATGTTCTTTTATAAACAATCAACTCCAAATAATTGTGCAATAGTGGTGTTACTACTTGAAATGATTTTGCTAGCAATATAAAATTAAGTAACACAAGTCAAGTCTGTCTTCTTTATTTATATAGCACTTTATACGATACAGATTGTTTCAAAGCAGCTTTACATTGATAAATAAGAAAATAGCAATTCAGTGATAAAAAAAAAATCAGTTCTAATGTAAAGCAGCTATAAAAGGACAATAGTAATCAGTTATTATTCAGTTGATATCAGTTCATTGTTGATTCAGTTCAATATCGCTATAGTTTCAGTGATTCAGTTAAAAAAAAGTATTCACATCATCCCTACTAGGCCCTATTACATATTAAAATACACTACCGTTTCAGTTTCAGTTTAATTTATTTATATAGCACATTTAAAAACGACAGAGCCGACCAAAGTGCTGCACAGAGAAGTAGAATTAAGCCAATAACCATAAAACAAATTTACAATAAAAAGGTGACAGAATAATACACAACCCTAAATATACACACAATAAAACTATATACAGCAGTTACTCCAGCCCATAAGCCTTTTTAAAAACTGAAATTTAAATTTTTTTTTTTTAATTTTTAAAAAAATTTACCGTTCACAAACAATATCAAACTTTATTATTATTAATTGATTTGATTTATTTTTGAGCTCTGAACTAGCATAATAATTTCTGAAGGATCATGTGACATTGAAGACTGGAGTAATGGCTGCTAAAAATTCAGCTTTTCTATCATGATGATAATATAATTTTTACATTTTCAAATAGAAAACAGTTATTTTAAATTAGAATACTATTTCACAATGTTGCTGTTTTTACTCAAATGCATCCTTGGTGAGCAAAATACTTCTTTCAAAAACAAAGAAACCTTACAGAACACAAACTTTTAAACAGTAGTGGATATATTTAATATAGTTAAATATTGTGACTAAAAAAATGTAGCATAAAACATATCACCAAGCCCTAATGAATACTACTGATATATGCTTCCTTTCCATTGTGTCGTAACTACATTTAGCAGGTATTGAATGCGAGTCAGTGAAGTGCATAAATGCCACATTTAAATTTATGGACAGATTTTTTAAATTTCAGTGGTGCTTATTGCAGTCATGCAACTGAAGTTCCTACTTAAACTCTCATTGTGATTGGTGCTTTCAGCTGTTGCACTTAACATTCTCCCTTGAGTGCACATCATAATGAGAGCAATTAATGTCCACTCCCAAGTGTGAATGTTCAAGAAAAATGGATCTCTCATGGACTGTTCTCCAATAAAACATGGATTTAATAGCGTATATGAAAGCAGTCAACCATAAACACACCATTTCTCATTGCTAATGTTCATAATAATTTTACATTTTGCTTGGGACTAACCTATTACTCCCCAAATGAAAGTCAACAGCATTAGGAAACTTTTTTTTAAATACTTTTTTTAGAAAGTTATTTTTTGTAATGAAACAGAGGAGATGTGCATAACAAGTTGTTGCCTGTGATGTTGAAGTAAGATGATTCAGTTTTAAACAAAGAGGTAAATTTTAAACAAAGAGAAGTTATAACTAACTGTTTTACCACAAAGTTACCCATTGCCTTTGTAGAACATAGGAAATCCTTTCATAGGTTTGTTGTTGTAGCCGGTCTCTTAGCTTGTCCTTGAGGATAAAGGACCACAGGAGCTCTTACGCCTCTGAATAGAGTTCCTCCTGCTGTGTGGTGGATTCTAAAGTTCTGAGTAGTAATGTTTTATGCAAGAGCTGACTGAAGAATCCTTGACCCTGAAGTACACTGTTACATGTGAGACTTTGGCAGTAGAATTCTGAATCACTTCCTCATTCAGATTGAGTATATTATGTTGTTATCTTTCTTTGTTTTGTCCTTTGTCTTTGTTACTCTTATCAGTGCGAAGGTGTAAAGACAGGGATTATCGTTTAGACATTTAAGTTTAGTGACCCGGCAACTTTGTAAGTCGTGTTTCCTGCGTTAACGTCACGTGTAAACAGAAGGTTATGATGATAACACATACTTTGTGTGTAGTTAGAGGCGGAGTGGTGGACAGAAAATGCATGTCATTGTCTCCTCCTAACTGTTTTTTTTTTTTGTTACCTGAGCAATAGCACAAACTTCTTATTCACTCCATGCCATGCCATGTAGCTGTATAAGAGGCCCAACTCCTGCTGCAGAAAACATCCCCCAAACCATGACACTTCCTCCTCCACCTTTCACTAACTTCTTTATGCACTTGGTATTCAGTCTTTCCTCAGTTTGATGCTGAACAAAATGTTTCCCATCAGACCCAAATATATTAAACTTGCTCTCACCGACTTCTCTTAAACATGCCGAGACTGTTTCAAAACCCTGTTCATCGCTGAACTGGCAAGCAATTCCAGCTGCAGTGTTGAACCAATTCCCCATTGAGAGTCTCTGCATTATCCTGTCCTCTCATGCATTTGTCTTACGTGGATGACCAGCCTTTTTGGGGGACTTGAATTAATTAATATAATTGTAAACCTGCAATATTCGAGAAATCACAGATTTGGAATGACCAACTTTTCTTGCAATGGCTGAAAGTGTCATCCCATTGGCCTTCATCTGGACAAGCTCCTGTCGCAGGGTTTCAGTCATATAGAGTGGCCCGCCATCTTACAATCTTAGTGAAAATTGGAGGAATGCTGCCAGTTAAATAGGGTTTGTCGTATAATTAAGGAAATTAGCACAAGGTGCCCTTATATTAGGCATAGCTTGCCCTATAGCATGAGCATGGTGTATTTTTATTTGTTTTATTAATAAAAGTTCTATGTTTTATATATAGGCTAAAGTGAGTTTGACGTTGTATTTTGTTGTTGCATTTCCCATTGGCCTTCATCTGGACAAGCTCCTGTCGCAGGGTTTCAGTCATATAGAGTGGCCCGCCATCTTACAATCTTAGTGAAAATTGGAGGAATGCTGCCAGTTAAATAGGGTTTGTCGTATAATTAAGGAAATTAGCACAAGGTGCCAGAATAACACCAATGGCTTGAAGGTATCTGTAAGTGTTCCCTAATTTTGATCAGATTTCTTTTTCAAATATGTCATTTAGTTTTTTTTTATACTCTGCTTCAGAATAAAATGAATGTATAAAATGTGCTTAAAAAGGTGCCCTTCTGCTACTGTTACTTAGGATAAATTGAAATAGGACTAAGCAGTAGGCTTAGTTCAGTAAAAGAACAGACACTACAATTAAAAACTGAACGCGGCTGCTCAATGCAGTGTGCCGAACGACAGTCGCATCACAGATCAGATTTCATTTATCCAGTGAGGAGAGTTACTCCGAATTGCCGCTATTTTAAAGTGAAAGTAAAATGGGCACACCGCTTTTACAAGCTATTTAAAAGCGAAGGAAAGCGAGGAAAAGAGGGAACGCCCCGCCCCCGCGGTGATACCGGTATTACCGGTGTTGTCACGTCGATTAACCGGTGGGAAAATTTCCTCACCGTCACAACCCTACTAAGCAGTGACCTTGAAATTTAGGAAATTGTAGGATGTTCTCCAGTTTTGATCGCCACTGTATATACAATGATCAAAAGCATATACATTCCAAAAAAACTATTTTTAATTAGTAACTGTAATATACATACATATATTTTTAGTCATTTTGGTAGTTAAAACAGTTTATGTATGATTTTTAATGATTGTGTACAGTTGAGAAGGTCACCTCATGTAACTTGTCGCATGCTACATGCTAGGTTAATTTTATAGTAGATATCAGAATGTCTAACTCATATAATTGGTCTCCCAACCTTAAAGCATGCAGTTAGAGTTCCTTACTTTTGAAAAGAGTCTTTTTCCAGGGCGAATTTTGAATGATTAATCATTCTGTTGATCTTTTATTACTTGGTCCTGCGGTTAGGAATTGTTTACTTAGCATACTGCAGCATATTATGTGCAAACGTGTTTGTGGAGAAGCATTTATGTAATATGCAACTGGTATGTTACCCCCAGGCATTCAAAATAATTGTTTTAACCAAATTGATGTCATGCCAAATAGCCAAACAGCCCATTTTAATGTGTCTTCTTTATGGGTAATTGTGAAATGCCTCTAGTTTTGTGAAATAGCTCTGTGCTCACTTGGTCAACAGCTTCCTGTAAAGATTAAGCTGTCATATGGGATGGGAATAATTGGCCCTCGGCATGACGTTCACCTGAGAAGCATGGCGGTTGTAATCCCATATCAGCACGTTCATGTGCAGATGCTTTGGCCTCGAGTTCATTGACCTGTCATAAAACCAGCAGTAATCGCCTAGCAATGCAATAGGATACTATGCAAATGTGCGGTGAATTGATTTCCTCACTCAGGACAGCTGTGGGAGTGAAGTGGTTTGCGTAGGGGTTTCCTGCTTTCATTTTTGACTGGTTAAGGCCCAGCGCACACGTGTGATGGAAAATTAACTCGCAGAGCTATTTTGCGTTGTTGTCTTTGAGTATGTGCATCTACTGATACTGTTTTTTTTTCATCAAAGAACATGAGATGAAGAGAACGTGGGAAAAGTTCACAGATACTGTTGCGACCCTTCACTGAGCCCTTTCTTTTTTCATTCCAGTGAAGTACATGCGGGAAGCGACGCCATATGTGAAAAAAGGGTCACCGGTGTCTGAGATCGGCTGGGAGACGCCGCCTCCTGTGTCCCCTCGTCTCGGCAGTCCTCACTTCGATATCCCCAGCCCCCCATCGCTGTCCTTACAGGGCGACCGCAGATGCATCCCCCTCAAAATGTGCTACATCACCCGGAGTATGACTGTCCCTGACCCAGAAAACAGGTACTGCTTCTTGTGCATTCAATATAGTGACCACCATAAGTTTGCAAAACTTGCAGCGTTACTTTATGAGAGGCTAAAATCCAATACGTTAATGTTTAAACTGCATTAAAGAATATTTTTAATAAATATTAACAGCATTTTCGTCAAAATTAATTCAGTATTTATTGAAAAAAATTTAACATATGTGTACTTTGTACTAATATTATGGATTTTTCTTGTGTAGTACTTGTTAAAATGGTGGAGAAGGTGATTGGAAGTGTTTTAGACAATCTATTTGTAATGCCGTCTCAGTATGAGCAGTAAGGGGTCTCATTATTCAGCGGGTGAATGTGACAACCCTGGTAATGCACTCCACACAACAAATGCTTTATGCTGGTGGCTCACTCCGTCATGTTTGATGTCTAAAGAGTACTAGTGTCCTCTTTAGTGTCCCGGACGAACCTTCATATCTTCAAAAGTGATGGAGGACAACATCAAAGTCCATGTCAACAATGACTTCAAAGATTTCATATGTTGCCAGAATGCTTGAGGTGGACACTTTACAAAAAAACATGGCCAAAAATCACTCCAAATAAAATGAAAGATATGAAGCCAAACATTAAACCTGTGACGTGGCTGTTCTGAATGACTATGGAATAAAAGGGAAAAAGAGAGATCACACACCATAAAGAATGGTAAAAAAAAAAAAGAATAAAATATTTATTAAGAGGCCAAAAAGGTGCTCGGTGCAAGGTATGTTTTCTGGTTACCAGTGTCCATAAGATAAACTGGAACATTTATATGGTTGCATTTATTGCACCGCTGTAGATGTCCCAGACCATCGAAAGACAAAAGTCAGTAAGATATAATTGACACTTTTATTCAGCAAGGATGCATTAAATTGGTATAAAAAAGTGTCCGTAAAGACATTTATAATGTTGCAAACGATTTCTATTTCAAATAAAAGCTGTTATTTTTTACTTTCTATTTCTATTTAATAAAGAATCCAGGAAAAATTTATCACGGTTTCCACAAAAATATTAAGCAGCATTTATAATAAGTAGAAATGTTTCTTGAGGAGCAAATCAGCATATTAGAATGATTTCTGAAGGATCATGTGAAACTGAAGACTGGAGTTATGGATGCTGAAAATTCAGCTTTGCCATCACTGGAATAAATTGCATTTTAACATATATTAAAATAGAAAACAGTTATTTCAAAACGTATCTTTTTTTACTGTATTTTGATCAAATAAATGCAGCCTTTGTGAGGATAAGAAAACTTTAAAATTGATACCAACCCTAAACTTTTGAACTGTATATACCATATAAATACAAATATATGGTTTGTTGTATATCAATGCAATATAGTTAACATTTACAATGTTTTCTCAGTTTCAGCAAAATACCATTATACACAATACATGTGTTTCAAAACTATAACCATGTTCACCATTTTCAAAATAACAATAAAAGTCTTGATATGTAAAGTTGTGCAACTAGTGCAAACATCTAAGAAAGAATTTCTCATTCATACATGGAGGATGCAAATATTTAAAATATATATATTAGACTTGTGCCGGTATTCGGTAATGCGATATATCACGGTAATGAATATGCACAATATTGTTATCGTGGGCACTTCTAAATACCGTGAATAATTATATATTACAAATTATTCAGAATTTTGAATGCATTTTAAGAATACTTTTCCCATCAACTGGTCAAAATGCACAACACCGCCGTATGCTGCGTGATAGACGCATGCGCACTCTGATGTAAACAATATACTGTATTATGACAGCACTTTTTTAAAAACTAAATTTCATCATCGTGATAATACCGTATACCATGATAAAAGCATGAGCAATTAATCGCAACATGAAAATTTGATACCGGCATATCCCTAATATATATATAAACATCAATCTCATGTGTGTTTTGTTGTGTATTGCTGAAACTGTTTTTGCTTGAGATGTAAAAGTTCTCACCAACCACACTGTCTGTTTTTGTGCTCAAGCCTCATGTTATTTTTTGCAGTATATTGTACTTTTGTCACCAGAGAAATGAACGTTGTGGTTTGTGAGATTAACCATAACATTACACAGGAAGTGTGTTAAAAGATGATGTACCAGCGCTGAACGGTAATGACAGGCGGAACATGTCACATCCCTTTTAAAACACAGTGAGGCTTTGTGTCTGTGTGCTGCTGAAATGTTAAACATACTCAATCCTAATAACATTCTGCATCCATTTTTATATTTTTGTTGTAGATTAGGATCAAAAACATGACCAACTTGAACCTGAGCACCTATTTTGCTATGTGTTGCTGTATTGTACCTTGTACAACAGTACTCTTCTCTGATTCCAAGACTGCTGATATTTATAATAATTTTATGAAGATATCAGGCAATATCACTTTCGCAATGCCCATTGCCATGGGAGGAATCACAGCCGTGTTAGTATTCAGTACAACTGCACACTTGCTCATAAGACATTGCTTAAATATCTGGCGTGGGTATATAACCTGGAGACGTATGGCGAGATAAACTGACAGGTAGACAGACAGACGAAAGACTGTTCCACTCCTCCCATGTGCTGTCAGTCAGGAGCCCTCCGCAGACTGGCTGCCAGGTCGTCAGTTCTCACCCTCCAGCTCTGTTTTCAATTTGCACGATTGTGTCCCATGTCTTCCAGCCCATCCATCACTGTGGTGTTCATGCAGAGATCTATCAACACTGCAGACATTTCACGGCTTACCTCAAGTGCCACACTGTGAGAGGATTCATGTCAAATTCCTAAACAAAATCCATGTGGTATAAAAATAGATCGTGCCCCCCTCCACCGTAGTCATTTCTTTGGACTGTTCGGTGTTCTGATGGCCCAGAGTGGAACTTTAACTGGAGTTGTTTCTGGTAGAAGTGAGAGTAGCTGGTGGTTTGGGGTATGGAGATGTTCCTCCACAACAGATGTGTCAGTGACCTCTCCATCTGTCCTGTGTTACTCCTGCTCTTGTTTGGTTTGACACAGTGTGTTTGGAGACCATCTAAATTTAGTTCATCTTCTTTTTGTCCTGTTTGACCCATTATTTGGGAGGTTGGTGGTAAATAGAAGAGAATTTGCCCCAAATTTTTTATTTAAAGTTAATTCATTTTTATTGGAACCATGGCCTATGTTTGTCACACATTAATAACAACAACAACAACAACAATAATAAAATGCAAAAGGTTTGGTTTTTAAAAAATAATAAAACTCTATCTATCTATCTATCTATCTATATTCTATTCTAGTTAATAAGAATAGGTTGGGTAGTCATAACATTCTTTTTGGTATAGTTTTATTTTCACTGATATCCACTGGCAATGTTAGTAAAGTAAACTGTTAGTAAAGATGCCGTAAGTTCTCCGAGTTGGACATTTTAGGTTAACTTTCTGAAGTTCACGTACTTCCTTAGAGAGATTTATTTTGACTATGAAAGGCATTGAAACATTCACTTCCTAAATTGGACACAGGCATCTCCATTAGTTGTGAAATTCTCCCAATTATAGTCTTAAAAGGCAGAACTCATTGGGCTTCATCCAAAAAGCTTTTTCCTCCAGTCTACTCCAAACACATCAGCTCCATCTGTGCCCACCCCCTAAGCCCCTCCAAACTCTCTGTCTTCATGAAAGTAGGTCTATTTTTACCAACACGGTGCACCTGAAAATGATATTGTGGAGTGTAAGGTTAAGACTCTTACTCTAGATGATGTATGAGTGGAGCATTTATCACTGTAAACTCCTGAGCTGAACTGATGTATGGTTCTGTTTGAACCGGGTGGATCTGATATTCTGGTGGTTAATGTTGACTCCAGAGCTCTTTCAAGCACTGTCTGTGTGTCTTTAAAGTGACGCAGATGTCTTGTTTTTAATGAAATGTGGTCAAATTTAATCGCATGTATTCTAGTTTGTACTATATTCAACTCATTCAACTCTACTATATTTATTTTTTATGAAAATAATTAATTATTTCTCCATCTGTTGCTTTTTTATACACTACATGTAGGAAGATATATTTTATCTAGATATATATCTAGATTTATTTAATTAAAAACATTGTTTAAAAAAAGGAAATATAATTTAAGTTTTGCTTGAACTGTTCTTTTAATAACCTGTAGCTTGTGCTCCTTTTCTTTCTTTCTTGTGTTTCAGGCAGATTGAGCTGCACTCCTCTGATGCCAAGCACACAATAGTCATGAGACATATAGACACATCTTCTGCCCAGACCTGGTTCACTCTCATGCAAACTGCCATCACAAACCTCACCAGCAAAGTCATCTGTGAACTCCGGGAACACGCGGGCCGCCACGGCATCGCCGGGAGTCGAGAGATCCGACACCTCGGATGGCTAGCAGAAAAGGTGGAAAATTGTTGCATACAATTTTATGAAAAACCTGAGACCATATAAACATTTATCAGAATGGAAGACAAAATGTCAAATTGTTTTTGCATAACTGAATTCATATTTATGAGCTATGTCTTAGTGATGTCACCAGCCCATCTGTTCCAACTGTCCAGTACAAATCAGTTCAGCTCGAATTGAATGTGCATGGCATGAACGTACATCATCATCAAAACTCATACTTTCTACGTGTCATTTAGCTGCATGGCAAAAGTTTGTCAAATTTGGTAAAAATACACTGTCTAAACCCACAGGGATGTCTTGCATAAAACCCAGCATCAGCTCAAGGTCTTTGGTTTGATGTAAGTGTTCCACTGTAATAGGTTTTCAGCTTTATGATAATTGTGGATCTGCAAAGACTTTATACAGTCACTTAAAACTTAGTTATAAAAAAATAGCATAATGACAGAAAACAGTATGGTTGATATTGAGCTTGTTGAAGTGCTCTTTACAGCATTTTTTAATAATCCCCCCCCCCCCTCACAAGTATGACTGTAATACTTGTCACTTACTTACCACTTGTAAGTTCATTCAAAAACACAAGATTATTGTAACAGCTAATGAGAACATTTAGTTTAATAATGAAAACAACAAAATGATCTTTCAGTTGAACTCCCCATGAAATCAAAATGGGAGTTTTGTGGCTTTTAATATAAAACGGACTTAAAGGAATAGTTCACCATTTACTCACCCTCATGTCGTTCCAAACCTGTATGAGTTTCTTTATGTTAAACAATAAAGAAGATATTTTGAAGAATGCTGGTAATCAAACGGTTGATGGTCCCTATTGACTTCCATAGTCTTTCTTTCCCTGCTATGGATGTCAATGGAGACCAACATCTGATCTTCTTTTGTGTTCAACATAAGAAAGACAGTCATACATGTTTGGAATGACATGAGGGTGAGTAAATGATGACAAAAAGTTCATTTTTGGGTGAACTATTCCTTTAAGGTTTTAGTGTTCTCATAAACAGTGACAAAATTCACATTTAGCAGACATGCATATGCATATCAGATTTTTTGTGCAATCAAATGCTGTCTAGTATCTGAAGAGTCCTGCTGCTGACATTGTAAAAATATGCTACAGTTGCATCTGAAATGGTCACTTCTTCACACATTTGCTATTTCTTATGTATTGAAAAGTGGACTATATAGGGAATAGGAAGCGATTTGAGACACATGCTTTCCATTGGGGCAAATGAAGCTTGGTTTCCCGTCAGTACCATGTGAAACATCTCAAGCGGTCAGACAGCTTTTTAAACAGCCCTGTCACAAACGGTCAAGTACTGCTTTGTTGGGACTGTTATGCAAGTGAACTATTTATTATAAAAAAAAAAAAAGGAAAAATATTTTTGATATGTCCCACCCGACATGACATTTTAATTAGAAATACATCAACACCTGCACTCATTAATAGTGACTCGTTAATTTAATGCATAATACACGTTTCAAATTGCCCTTATAGCAGAATGAAAGATGTTGCGCTACTGCAATGTAGAGTCATCACATTATAGGAAATAAATTAAACTTACATCAATTAAACCTACATCCGTAGTGCCTACATAACTATCTAATATCTAATCATATTCATATATATGATTAAGTTGACAGTTGATCGTTTGAGATTGTGGAGCTAATTTAACAGCCTTTGAATTTTTTGTATTTAACTGACTTCATTCGATATAACTGTTCTCTGACCTCTGCATCCCTCCCATTTCCCACTTTTGTGACAGACCTCTTGTATAAATGTTGATGTTTGCAACATCATTTTTAAACAAACTGTAAAGATCACACACAAGCATGTTAAACAGGGTCTGGTTATACTGTACTCTCTAGTTGGAAACATGGCTAACATTCTGAAAACTACAGACAGTTCCTTTTGAAGTGCTTTTTTTTGTTTTCTTTAGAAATTCTCAGAAATCGTGGTGGCGCGATGCTGGAGCGATTGAAAAAGGATGACTCTTCTCAGTGTGACCACAGGTTTTTCCTCCCTATTAAATCTCCTTTTCATCGCCGTCCAATTAGCTGAGGCCTGGCAGGGCTGGCTAATAGAGAACTGCGGTGATGGCAGGGCTGTGGGCAGCCCCGTCTCAGCCTGCCCTTTAATGAGAGCTCCCTCGTACCATCTCCTATTACCAACCTGCCGGCCCCTTGATGAATAATTATATGAGAGGAAAAAACCTCCAGTGCGCTGAATGCCCACAGACAGCGAGCAGATTTCTTTGTGTGATGGCCGGAGCTTATAACAAGGGCCAGTTTGCGGTTACGCATCTGCTTCTGATGTACTCGGCCCCGCTGTGGTCTCTTTTTAGCCTTAAGGCAAACTGACCCTCTGAAGAGCAGCCCTGTGATTTGTGAAGATTTGAGTGGTCTGTCAGGCTATCAAAGCCCTGAGGAGACATCTGTCATAGAGCAGGGCTTCAGCAGTAAATCACACTTGGGCTCAACTTAAGGTCTTATTGGGAAAACTTTGTGAACTATTACTCAGTTGTAGAGCGTGTTTACTTTTGAGCTCATTAAAGTCAGTGTATAACATCGTTTGTAACCCCAATGAGTTGGAATAAGCTTTCTGTGGAAAATTGTTTCTGCAACAGGTACGTTATGAACTTTTTCCCCGTAATTTCAACATATAGACTTGCAAGATTTATACTTGGAACTTGCAATTCTAAGAAATATCTGAATCGTTATATATAAACTCGCTATTGCGAGAAAGAAGTAATGATGTGTGAGATTAAAAAGTCACAATTACCTTTTTAATTTTTTTATTCTGTGGTGAAAACAAAACCGAATTACTACTTGTTTACTCAGAATTGCAAGATGTAAACTATGAAGTTGTTTACATTGTTTCCTGAGTTTATATTGCAATTCTGAGAAAAAAAGAATTGCGAGATATAATCTCAGAATTGCGAGGAAAAGGTCTGAATTGTGAGAGAAAATGTTGGAATTACCTTAAGTTTTCTTTCTTAAATTCTGCATGGAAACAGGCTTCCATATATTTCAGAGTGAAACTAAATATTCAGTGAGGGGAAAAAAATGTTGAGTGGGACTTGATTTTATCCATCTGGAATTGATCTGTTTCACAACAGAATGGTGGTTAGAGGGGAGTGGCTGAAAGTAAGAGGGGTTTGTAAAGTCATCCGAGAAGGAAAGTCAGATGCAAAGCAAGTTATTATACTTAACATTGTTTTTCTGTGAAATAACGTGCACAGATGAATCGTTTACAGCAAGACAGGGGTGTGCAAATCCAATGACATCAATATGTTGCTATTGTTTTTATCATAATGCACTGATACTTCATGTCATGTCTTGTTTTGTTTTTTCAATTTACGTCATTTTTCATTCATATAATTTCTCAAAGCAGATCTGTCTAAATCTCTCTCCCTGACATGGCGCATATTTATAATATAATATTTAATACAATTTAATATTTAATATATTTATATAATAATACAATATATATAATATATAGGCTATTTATTTATTTATTTTAATAGTAAAACCATGGTTAATTTAAGTTGTAAAAGTATCCAGCTTACATTTCACAGTTACAGTAATTGTGTAGTATTTCGTCAGTTTATTTAGGCTAATAATATCCCAAAAAAAACAGCTAAGGAATTATATGATCAGGATGTTAAAATAAACAAAAATCTCACCTTTCAGAGTAGACATTAATAAGCATATCCCAGCCAGGTTCGTCACTTGTTGCGGTTCCCTTAAACATTTCCGATGTAGTCTGTGCGTACTTTCAGCTCTTTCGTATTTGTTTGTGTAACGAGTTTCTGTTTTCGCAAAGCATTTCTGATTTTGGTTGTGTTGTGAGTATTTGCAGCACATGTGCTGTCAAACAGATGAAGATGTTTTCTTATTTTGCAGGTGGTTTTTTTTTCATTTGCAGCGCGTTGATCTTTCTTGGCCACCGTACATTTTGCTTAAAGGGGTCATATGATGCTGCTAAAAAGAACATTATTTTGTGTATTTGGTGTAATGAAATGTGTTTATGCGGTTTAAGGTTCAAAAAACACATTATTTTCCACATACTGTACATTATTGTTTCTCCTCTATGCCCTGCCTTTCTGAAACGCGTCGTTTTTTACAAAGCTCATCGATCTGAAAAAGCGAGGTGTGCTCTGACTGGCCAGCTATCCAGTGCGTTGTGACTGGC